GAAAATTAGAGGTGATAGAAACATCTAATCCTTCGGGAACTCATATATTTTTTCTTGGCAATGGTAAAATAATTGCTTCGGTTCACGAAAGTATTTTTATTAAGATTGGTCCACATGACAAAGTTAATCCCATTTTACAAGTTATCGTTAGCACTGCTGTTGGTGCTTTAACAGGAGCAGCCTCGGGAGCCTTAAAAGGTGGAGTTGCTGAGGCTGTGGCTGGGGCAGGAGTAGGAGCAGTAAAAGGAGCTATGGGGGGGGCAATTAAAGCAGGGATGCAACAAGTTTGACAAACCGAACATTTTCGAGTAGAATATACAATAGATGAATTTCTGCATAAATGAGTAAATAGTGGTATTTATCCAATTGGTCTAATTTTAGAACAAAATAATGAGTTAAATAATCGTTATTTAGCCAACAAAATTTTGAAGCAAGGAGGAGAAGGAAACGAATACTTTAATGCTGTTTCTTTCGGTAATTATTTAAGTGAAAAAGGTTTTCACAAATTCCATTTCTTAACTCTTGATATGTATGGTTCTAATCAAACCTGATTTAAAGAAAAATTAGAAGCAGGAGTGTGAATTAGTAATGATACTCCTGAAAGTTGGTATAAGTTGGAATTACCAAGAAAAAGAATAATAGAAACAGTGACCATTTCTTCGGGAGATTTAGACGAAATTACTATTACTGATACAGTTAAATCGGCAGCTGGTTGAGATGATGTTTCTAATGCCGGGGGAGGTCTTTGGATTTATAAAAGAAGTAAAATAGCCGTTTGTGAAAGAAGAGAAGAAATGAATAATGCTCCTAATTTAATGCCGTGATTAATAAATGAAATAGAAAAACGGCAAAATTGACTTAATACCGATTACATGAACCGAAATAACACCCAAGACAAATGAATTCTTAAACATCCCAATCTAACTTTCATCAAAGAAAGATTAGATATTCCAAACCAATATTTAACCAAAGAAAAAGAAGGAGTTAAATACTGCCGTATTCATTATGATTTTCATTTCTATTCTAGTGCTCCCGATAGTAGTAATTCGGGTGATGAATTATATGCTACTCATTTCTTAATTACTCGGGAAAGTAATGGTAGCCAAGGGAAAGTAGAAATAGAAATCAAAGGACACCATATAAAAAAAAGAAGTTTAAAAGGAACTCCTCCACCTGGTTTTGGTAATCCTCCTCCTCCATTAAATCCTGGTGAAGTTATTCCTGATATTCCCGAGGTAGTTCCTGATGAACCCGAAATAAATACTCCCGAACCTGGTCCTGATATTCCTGATATGGGAGGTAGTGAACCAGAACCATTTATTGAACCTGAACCCGAACCAGCTGTTGAACCTGACCCTACTCCTGATTTCCCAGAACCAGACCCAACCCCAGACCCCGAGCCTGACCCACCCGAAGTAGACCCAGGAATAGGAGAGCCCGAAAACCCCGAGGATTTTGATTAAAAATTACTTCCCATAACTTTTATCGTGCTTATTGATATCTATTTCTCAAGCCTGGTTATTTTCTCAAATAAAAATAAGTCGATATTGCTGATTAATTCGAATACTTCACTTATTTGGCTGCCCTTTCAACTTTTCTAACCGATTATTGGGATAATTTCTTAATTCTCTTAAATCTTTGGCTTGGGCTACTAATAATAATTTCCGAGGAGCTAATTTATTAATGCTTAATGGATAACTAGGAGAAAGATAACGATTAACTAAACTCTCTACTTCTTTATTTTTAAATTTTTTCAAGGTTTTATCTAAGAGGGGCATTAACTATTGTCCGATAAGGATGAATTTCTTTCTTTACCTGCTTTTCTAATTTATCCTTTCAGCACTCTAATTCATAATGTTTCTGTAAGTCTAATCAGTAATCTTCCCGAAAACCAAAATACAAACCTAATCGGTAAGAAAGGTCAGCGTCAATATTTCCTTTTTCTTCTACTATTTCTTTTATTTTTTCTTCCTCTACTTTAATTTCTCGGGCTAACTTTTTACTACTAATTCGATAAGGTTTTAATAATTCCTCTCGTAATATTTCCCCTGGGTGAATAGGTGGTATTTTTTTTCTTGTCATAATCTTTTAATTTTATTTTACAGTTATTAATTCAATTATTCTTTTTAATAACTAAACTAATAACAAAAATAAATATTTTTGTCCTGCTTAAATAAGCTGTTAAAAACCCTTTATATGACTAATCTAGAAAAGAAGAGAGAAACAGCAAAAATCTCTTTCTGAAATCAGTTAGAAAGTAAAAAAATAACTAACAAAGAACAAGTAGAGGAACATTTAATTCAAAAACTAGGAAAACCTACTAATGAAATCCAAACTAATCTTTTATTTGAATTAGTAAAGAAAGTAAATTCTTATTACTTTTCCGAACCCCAACAATCCCAAACCACTTATTCTTTATTAGGTCGAGTTCAAGCAATAGTAGAAAAGAAGTTTAAAGAAGGCAAACGGAGAGGGCAAGTTTTTTATTCGGTTCTACTATCCGAACCTAAGGGAGAGAAATTTCGAGCCGTGAAAGAGGACTTAACCAAAAAAAAATGAGAGCAAGTTCAAAAATTAACCATTTTAAACCAAAAATTAGTCTTTAAGTATAAAAATTGGCTGACTAATAAAGACATTGTGGACTTTTACCCTTATGAGAAGTAAAGAAACTCGACGAAAGCACCCCAGGGACACGAAGGGAGAGAAATCGGCAATGGATTTATTGAATGAAGTGGTACTTTTCCCTGAAAAGACCAACCATTAATAAAAACCGTCGTATTCTCTTCCCCTTCGGCTCTGGTGGCTTTCCACGAGCATACACACGAAAAATTTTTTAGACAATAATGACTAAAAACTACATCAACTGACAATCCATTTATAATAATCCTGCTTTATTCCATATCTACCTCACGGAAAGAGGAAGGGGCAAATCCGACACTAAGGGCTGAGAATTCTTAGAAATCATTACCACTACCAAAGAAACCCACTTAGCCTGAATTAGAAGGAGATGACACGATAGCCTATTAGCCACCAAACCCTTTTTCCAATCTCTCATTTATTCCTTTGGTGAGGAGAAAGACCTTAATCTTAACCATTTTGAAGTTAAAGAGCAAGGAGTTTATTATCAAGGACTGTTAAGAATTCACTTTTACGATTTATTTTCTTACCAAAGAGTAAGAGGAGCCATTGCCCGAACTTCTTTTGCTGAAATAGTTTTTGAAGAGGCAATACCAATAGA